CGTGGCCGGGGGCGGCCACTGCACTCCAGTCTGGGTGACAGAGTGAGACTCCAACTCAAAAAAAAAAAAAAAAAAAAAGTAAGCAAAATGTTAACAGTAATGATTAATACCACAACAAAATTAACGTAATCACCAATAATTCTCCAGTTCTCTATAACGTAATGTTAATAAAAATAACTTTTAAAAATAAGAATTTGAACTTCTCATACTAAATTCTGCTCGTGGTGAAGGGTTTTCATAGAACTAACCCTTCACAGAAAATTTCTGTAAACTCAGGAAAAAAAGATCATAAAAACAATTGCTTGAAGTTAGTGGAGAGCAACCAAATGGAGGCAGAAACTGCCAGGGTGGGGGTCTTTGGCACTTGAAAGAAGGTAAGATAAATGTCTATATGTCTTTTCCCTTGAGAGTACATACCATGGGATGCCTGGATCTCAAAGAGAATACCGGTTTTGCTTATTTGTTTATTTGGGCTTAAGGTATCAGAGGACAATGTTTGGAGATGCCAAAATGACTGGAAATGGAAGGGGAAAGGAAATTCCCCCAAAGGAGAGAGCTACCTAGGGAAAGACCACGATTTACATATATCCTTCAGATCCTCAGCTGACCCTTGAACTGCATGTATAGGCATAGGGGAAATTTCTTTTCTTTTCTTTTCTTTTTTTTTTTGGACTTGGAGTCTCACTCTGCCGCCCAGACTGGAGTGCAGTGGCCGCTCCCGGCCACCGCAGCCTCGACCTGCTGGGCTCCGGCGATCCTTCCACCTCGGCCTTCCGAGTAGCCGGAATTACAGGTATGCGCTACCACGCCCGGCTGATTTTTTGATTTATTGTAGAGAGGAGGTCTCGCTGCCCAGGCGGGTCTCGAACCTGCGGGCTCAGGCCATCCACTCACCTCAGCCTCCCAAAGGCGCGGGATTACAGGCTGAGCCACCGAGCCCGGCTTACATAGGGGGAATTTCTAAAAACCAAGGGAGAGAGCTGCCGCTGGAAAATGGAGCAAGCTACACAGAGATTTCAGTGGCTACTGCAGAAGAAAGAATTTGGAGTTTAAAATTTATAAACGGAAATGGGCTTTGTAAACTCCTCAGCTTTCCACAGAAATGACAAAGGGTCCATACAGCAGAGACTATATCCCAGAATTGAAAAATAAGATTGAAAGCTAAAAGTAGAATTAACATAGGCCCACCCTATTGAACTGAAAGATCAAGTATCCACAATTTATTATGATAAAATTGTGATTTAACTGCCTGTGAAAAGAAAAATGAAGTCCTCAAAGAATAATAATAAAATCCAGAATCTTTAGAATGTATCATTCATAGTATCCAGCATATTATTACAATTACTGAATATTCAAAAAAGAGTAAACTTTGATTTAAAGTTAAGAAATTAAAAGTAATTACAAATGAACCCTTAGGGCATTCATGTTTGCATTAGCAGGCAAAGCATTAAAGCAACTATTATAAAATATGTTTAAAGACTTAAAGGTTAATGTACTTACAATGAGTAAACAAAGGGTATTTTAAGCAGATAAATGAGATGATATAATAAGACCAACTGTAAATTTTAAGGTAGCAAATTACATTTGAAATGAAAAATTCTAACAAATTCTTCAGACTAAAGAGAAATAACACTAGATGAAAACTCAAATCTTCACGAAGAAATAAAAAACACTGGGAATTGTTAATATATTGGTAAATATAAAAGCCAGTGTTTAAATTCTTCTCTTAGTTAAGAAAAATAAAGTGTACTGTTATAATTGAATATAGAAAGTTTTTAACATATGAATTTAAAATATATTACAAGAAGCCAGGCGTGGGTTAATGCCTATAATTCCAGCACTTTGGGAAGCTAAGCTGAGAGGATTGCCTGAGCCCAGGGGCTTGAGATCCACCTGGACAACTTGGTGAGATCTCGTCTCTAAAATAAATAAAGAAAAATTAGCCAGGCAAGGTGTCACGCTCCAGCTACTTAGAAGGCTGAGGTAGAAGGATCACTTGAGCCTAACAGGTGGAGGTTGTGGTGGCTTTGAGCATGCCACTGCACTCCAGCCTGGGCAACAGAGTGAGACTCTAACTCAATATATATTTATATGTACATAAATTGCAACAATAGAACAAAGGACAAGAGTGTGTGTGTGCGCGTGTGCGTGTGTGTGTGTGTGTGTGTGTGTGTGTGTTTGTGTAGCAGTGTTAAATTATCCTATAGCAATCTTATGACATTTTACATTGTTATATAACATAAAATTTAAGTTGATGGGAATAAAGGATGAAGTTTTTAATCTGTAAAGCAAACATTAAAATACAATACACGGAGGTATAGCTTAATAGTGAATAGACAAAATAAAATAAAATATGAAAATATATGAAATAAACCAAGAAGAGTCAGCAAAGGTGGGGCTGAGATGCAAGAAACCGTATAGGAACAAAAATAAAAAGGAAAAAGAGTAGATCTAAAACCAAAATGTCAATCATTACACTAAACATTAATGAATTAACCCTTTCAATTAAAAGACAGAAAATGGTCCAATGGTTTAAAAAATTTTCAACTGTATTCTAAAATTTTTGCATGTATATTTTGTATTCTTTATTATATGCTTTCTGTAAAAGATATTAAAATGTGACCATGTTTTATGTGCTCAGGTGGGTGATTGGATCCTTACTCTCATGGTGCAAATTTAGTTCAGAATATCTTGGTTTTGAAATATGATGAAGTCTATTAATAATTTTAAGAATTTTGTTGTTGCTACTGTTTTTCAGGACGAATGACACTGGATTGCTTTCTTATAAAGAACATCTGCCTGTAACTAAGATAGTGATTACAGACACAGGCCGACCACATTCAGAAGCAGCTTACAAACTGGGGCCTCTACTCTGCCGGGGAGACAGTAAGTGGTCACAATGCGTTGAAAACATGTTTGAGGAAAGTACTGCTACTTAAGCATAATGTTCCTATCACATAATAATCATACTTCCATTGTGAAGACTCACAAGTAAGGTATGAATTATTCTTTTAGCCAGACAACAAATAAGTACCCTTCGGGGCAGGTCTTTCTTTTCAGATTTATCCATGTCAGGTCTTTCTGGCACGAATCTTCATGTTTTTGCTCTCTTCTCGTTAACAAACTTTACTATAAAAGTTTTTTTTTTTTTTAAAGTACCCATATGAAGGGCAATGCTGTGAGGGCAAATCTTGTTAAGGTTCTAAGCAAAAAGGACACTGGACATGTCAATTTGATTAGTTTGTGAGTACATTCCAGCATCCCTAAATATCTGCATGCCATTATCCACACAAGAAAGCCTCAGTGCTATACAAAATTATTATTAATAATTAATGTGAATTTCCTACTGTTAGGTCTGGGATGAAATTAGAACATAAATGGAATCAAATGTCAGCTTAATCAAACATATTTCAACTTTTAGTCTGGTTTTTTTTCAGTTTGTGTGTGTGTGAGGAGGAGCTTTAAACCAATGGGGCATGCTGTTTTGTATATTCAATGCATTAACACTCTAAACTGGAATTTTTAAATTTAAATATAGTTTAACTATGTTTGTGTTCCTTATATATGTATATGTTTTTAGCAGGGAATGAAAAGAGCAATGTGTATCCATTCATAGATCGTTAACCTCTCTCAAAACAGTTAGGTGAGAGATAAATGCATTAATTATTCATGCTTTGTGTATTTCCAGAACTTAAAATAGAAATAGAAGACATATTTGTTTACATTAAAAGCATACCCGAAAATAAAATTTTATTCTGGGGTGCAACAGAAGAGAAGATCTGACAAATCAGTAGATTTATGGAGATACATAGCAGAAGTTGCCTAGTTAAAAAGCAAAGATGATACTGTCCTATAAAAATATATATATACATTGTAAAAACTGTCTGCCATTACATCCACCATCTCTGATGTGTATCATCTATACTTCCTGTTCTGCCAGTAAGTCTTACACAATCACATGAAGATGACATAGGATATTTCATAGAGAGAAAAATTATGTGCAAAGAGATGAGGTTGTAAACTCCAGATGCATTCAGGGGAGTGTAATGATTTTTCACGGCCATAGAGAAGTTCGATATATCACATGTACCTCTTACTGCTTGCTGTGATCTTAACCCTGCAGAGACCCAGGCTGGCTTCCTCTATCTTCCTTTTTCCATTAACCACAATTCCTGGGAATTGGTCTGCAACCAACTCTAGAATTTTTTTTTCTTCTTCTAAACTTCCTGCCTTCATCTTCAGCATACATCATTTTACCTGGAGTAGTGATTCACCGTCCAAGGCAATCTTGCCCTCCAGTGGACGTTTGGCAATGTCTGGAGACATTTTTGGTTGTCACAATTGTGGGGGGCGGATGCTACTGACATGTAGGGTGAGAGCCAGAGATGCTGCTAAATATCCTACAATACATGAAGCAGCCCTCCACAACAAATTACTCTCTGACCCAAAATGTCAATAGTGCTGTTGCTGAGAAACTAGAGCATTGGGGAATACAGCGAGAATTAGCAATAATAATTTATAGGTAGTTTCAAGTATTTAGAGACCTACTAATTAATTAGCAATAATAATTTCCAGATAGTTTCAGGCAATAATTTACAGATAATTTCAAGTATTTAGAGACCTGCTAATTAACCTCTGACATTAATGAAACAGTAATTTCCTCCTACATCTATTTTTAGGGTTAAGTCTCATCCTCATATGAGATTATAGGGATTGTTTTCTGCATGAATAGCTCTGTTTTATTTTCTCAGTCAGATGCAGTGGGTTCAGAACAATGAATACTCCTTTCCTCTGTATGGGAAATCTGTTTTTCTTAAGTGCAATGTCCAAGGCACTTTTTTTTTCTTTTCAAGTGAGGCACATTGCAGATATGAGAGCTTACAGATATTGAATCGTGAGCAGTGGGCCTTATAAGTAGAGAAAAGGTATGCGGACATTACTCTGAGGGCAGAAGGACTAGCCGTTGAATAAGTTAAGACTGAGAAGTAACTTAATTATCATGATTCAGTGGATAGTCTGAAGATCAGTTATAAACCTAAAGACCAATAAAGTGACCTTTCAGCCTGTAATCCCACGCTTTGGGAGGCTGAGGTAAGTGGATTGCCTGAGCTCGCGGGTTCGAGACCCGCCTGGGCAACTTGGCGAGACCTCATCTCTACAGTAAATCTAATCAGCTGGGCATGGTAGCACATGCCTGTAATTCTGGCTACTAGGAAGGCTGAGGCGGAAGGATCGCCAGAGCCCAGCAGGTCAAGGCTGCGGTGGCCGGGAAACTTGACCAGTCTAGCATGTGTGATAAGTCAAGAAAAGGAATTTAATCAGAAGAGAACAAATAAAATGTTTCTATTTACAGATGACATGATTATCTAGGTAAAAAATCCCAAATTATTTATATAAAAATTAAGTGAGTTTAGCATAATCACAGGATCAAAGATCAATATGCAAAAGTAAATGATATTTCCATGTGTTAACAATGAAAAATTATAAATTGAAATTTGAAAAATACCTTTTACAGTAACAACAACATGACATATTTTGGTGTAAATATAACAAAATCACACAAATTGATGAGAAAAAAATTATAGAATAAAATTTTAAAAAATTAAATAAATCATATTCGTGGATCAAAAGACTTGATATTAGGATGTCAGTTTTCTTCAAGCTAATGCATAGATTGAATACAATCTCAAAACCTAGGATGCCTTTCTTTTGAAATAAAATGGCAAGCTTATACTAAAACATATTTGGATAGGCAAATAAACTAGAGTAGCTAACATGTTTTGAAAAATAAAAATAATGTTTGAAACATACTACCTGATTTTAAAACTTATGAAGTTCCAGTTATTCAAGGCAATGTGATATTGATTCGAGACAGACAAAGAGATGAATGGAAATACACTAGAAAGCCCAAACTGCAGTCACACATACTTGGTTGATTGACTTTTGACAATGCTGCAAAGGAAACTCAACAGTGAGAGTTCTTTTCAAAAAACAGTGCTGGAACAATGAGACTCCATTTAAAAAAGAATAAAATAATATCTACTCATACTTCAAAGCAGTTAGAAAAATTAACCCAAGATTAATCATAGATTTACAAGTAAAGCCACAAACTATAGAACTTCTCTAAGAACATGTAGGAGAAAATTGTAGTGACATTGAACTGGGCATAGATTTCTTAGATGCAATATTAAAAGCACAGTTTATAAAATTAAAAAGTGATTGGTTTTTACTAAAGTTAAAAGCTTTTACTTTTTAAATGACACTCTAAAAAAAGGAAAAAAAGTCAGCTACTGAGAGAAAAGATTTGCAAAATACATGTTTTATAAAGGCTAGTATCCAGAATATATGAAGCACTTTTTCATAGTACAGTACTTTTAAAATATCAGCTAACAAATGGGTAAAATATTTGCATATATACTTAATCAGAGGAAATCTATGCATTTCAAATAAGTGCATAACAAGATTCTTAACATTATTGGCCATTAGGAGAATGCAAAATAATACTGCAATGAGATACCAGTTTATAACTGTCAATTAATTGATATTGCCTTTTTAAAATGTAAAAATAACAGCAACAAGAGAAACGAGAAATATATATTTATTTATATTTATAAATATCTTTATTTATATTTATAACAAGAGAAATGAGATATATATCTTTATTTATATTTATATGTATATAAAAAAATAGCAAAAAGCCTGACTATCATAAGTGCTAGTGAGGATTCAGACTAACTAAAACCCTGCCACACTGCTACTGCAAATGCAAAATGGTATACCAGTTTGGAGAATAGTTTGTCCGTTTTTTATAATGTCAAACAATATGATCCAGCAATCCTCCTATTAGGATTTTATCCAAGATAAATTAAAAATAATATATGTCCAAGGTTAATATTTGCTTTATTCACAGTCTTCTAAAACTGGGAAACTCTCACATGCCCATCTACTATTGAATGGGTACACATCCCATTTTACTGTGGTATACTCATAATACACCATGGACTACTACAGAATAATAAAAAATGATCTATTGATGCATAAAGAAACATAGATGGATCTCAATTCCATTATGCTAAATGAAAGGAGTGAGACTCAAAAGGCTACATGTTTTAAATGATTCAATTTCTAAGATATTCTGGAAAAATCCAAACCACAGGAACAGCAAAAGGATCTCTGTGGCAAGGTCTTCAAGGTAAGTAGAATTTTAAAAAGAGATACAAGGACACTTTTTCCAGGTGAGGGAAATATTCTATATCTTGAGTGTGGTGGTGGTTTTATGGCTTGATGCAATTGTCAAAATTCCTAGAACCACGCACAAAGAAAGCTCAGTTTAATTAGATATAAATTGTCATAAATTCTTAAAACATTTACATAAATAAAAGTAGTAAGTGGATATGTATTACTCAATATATCTGATTGAAAACAAAAACTAACACAAAAAATCCCTACACAATTGTATGAAAGCTATGGTTGCTGAATTTTAAAAATCAGGTCATAAAAAAAAATACTAGAAGCAAACTCATGGAACAGTAAAAGTTTCAGTAACCTGTATATTCCCCAATTCTCTAAGACATCTCCAGAATTATGCTGAACATGTTTCTAATTTATATTTACTTTAGAACATTAGAAAATGAATCAAAGAAAAACCATATGAGTTCACCAATGAACAGAAAGATTATTAGTGGGAGGACTCACCCATTTACTTTTCCAGAAGCAACAGAAAGATCTTTATTTTTTGAGTTACCATCAAAAGTCTTCTAGACCAACAATTCCCCAACTTCAGCATGCATAAAAAGATTTCTGAACCTTATCCAGAGATTCTGATTCAGGAGTTGTGGGTAGGAATATTTTTGGCAAGCTTCCAGACATGGCTGCTAGTCTGTGGA